GTGGGTTAGTGCCCTGTGCCCCAGCTACCCATTTCTTTTTTATTTTTATTTTCCTTTCCCCACCTCCTTTTTAGTTGGCTACCATATGTATCCCTAGATTTGGTCTGGTCCCTGCCATTCTGCCTGATCCTCACCCCAGGAATGTTTGTATACAGTAGCTTTTTCCCTATGCCCCTTTTGCATTTTTTTTTAAAGCAAGGTAAAATGTTTTAAAGATAACTGGATAGCTAGTGATTTGGAACAAATCAGATTGACTCACCTTACACCAAGATAAATTACAGAAAAGTCAAGAATTTTAATGTAAAATAATAATGCAATAATATCATTATTATTTGCACGTAACTTTTGCTGAAAGTCCTTCAACAATTGCTGCACCAGTGCCCTGACAGAGGTCGTGAAACAGGGGATATTATTGCTGACAACAGATGGAAGAAGCACACCTGCCTGTGTGATCCAAGGATTGCAAATAATATAATTCAAATCTAAAGGATAGAATAGTATCAGAGCTGAAACGGTGAAAGCCTGGTTTGCAGAAGACTATGGATGACAGTAGAAGTCCAAAATCCCTTTGCAAGGTCCACACATAGAGTAAGCCTCTGATGAATTCCCTATGGCCATCGTCAAGGGATGGAAAGAGCCTTATTATCAGACAGAGAGCGTTGTAAAATCAATATAATTAGGTTAGACATAGTTCAGTTAAAATGTAATATATTTTATTTGGTCTCCCTTTTGACACATTTAAAAACTGTTTCAGATTTTGTTTTTAATGGAGAAGAAGTGCGTGTGGATTAAGCCCCTGGTGAATTCTCTCTGACCACGGAGCAGGAATATAAACAGACTTGCTATCATGTGGAGTGCATTGGAAAGTGGATTATTGCAGATCTAGTTTGGTTAAATTTACCAACCTTATCATTTGATCCCCCTTTTGACCCATTTTTAATTTATTCTAGTTTTCAGTATTTTCTAGTTTCTTTTCTATTGGCATTTTTCTCCATTTTACTTTGTTATTATTGTTAGTTTTTGTCGTTGTTGTTGTTGTGTTTTTCATGTGTTTTTCTGTACATGAATATGTTAGTCTGGGTTGATTAGAGAAATAAATTCATTGACACTCATATATGTATAATAAAGAGCCTTATATAAAAGAGCAATTGTATATTAAGAAAACATCCCAGCCCAGTCCATACCAAGTCCATAAGTCCGATATTAGCCCATATGTCCGATACTAGTCCATCAATTCCTCTTTAGACTCATGCAGCACATACAATGATCCCGTATGCAGGAGGATCACAGGCCAGTGGGTAGAAGGTCATGTGGATCCAGTGACAGCGGAAGTATCTCAACACTGGTGCGGATCTGCACGTGTCTCCTCCAGCTGTCCGAGTGTCCCCACCGTAGGAAAGGGAAGGCAGGAGGGTGTGTCCCACCTCCAGGGAGGAAGACAGGAGTTTCCAGAATCCTCAGGGAAGAGCCATACCCACACAGACACCTCATTGGCTATGACCTGATTGACAGGCTAGACTCCACCCCTTTGCTCCAGTTGACAGGAGATTATGTAACTGGCACAATGAAACCCAGGGTAGGTAAATCTACGGAGACAAAGTGGTATCTTGCAAGTATCCTGACAGGAAGGTTGGGGGGAAATAAACCCACTGCCATCGAGTTAATACTGATGCATAGGGAGCTATAACAGTGAATACACAAAAATGTTCTAAAATGGATTGTGGTAATGATTGTACAACTCTTCTTGATTTGATTGAACTTTTGAATTGTGTGATATGTGGATTATGTGCCAATAAAACTTTTTTTAGAAAAATAACATTGAAAAATAGGAAAAAGATCAGCAATCTATGGGGAAAGTAGACAAAAGATACTTTGCAAAAAAGAAAATGCAGAGCCTCTGAATCATATAAAATGATATTCAAAAAAAATGATATTCAACATCACTCACAATAGGAAAGAGCAAATAAAGGTACAATATATCCCATTTTCCATCTATCAAATTGGTGAAAGTTAATATGTTTGGTCAGATAAATTGAACCACATTAAAATTACCTGAAGTTCATTTAAAGGGTGAAAAAGTAAGCCTAGGCCAGGAAAAGCGAATTGTAATCATATACCTGACAATAAACCCCTTTCCAGAATATATAGAGAACTCCTACAAATTTGGCCTGAAGGGTTAAGTACTTGACCACTGGTCTCACGAGTCATAGTTTGAACCCACCTAGAGGTGCCTCAGAAGGCAGACCGTGGTCTCCTTCTGAAAGATTACACACTTCAAACCCAGTTCTACTGTGCACACGCGGGGTCACAGGGAGTCGGAATTGAGTTGACAACAGCTAAAAATGGCTGCAAATGAAAAAAAAAAAAACATCGAAATCTCAATTTTTAAAATGAGCAAAAATAAATTTAAACAGTCGAAGGCATCCTGGTCAATGTCATCAGAAAAAATGTAAATTAAAACTATAATACTTATTTAATTGTATGATTTGTTCATGATATGCCAATAAAACTGTTTTTAAAATAAAACTACTTTGGGCACCCCCCAACTCTGGGGAGAACCACAGACTTTCATAGTCCCTGGCAGAAACAAAGCTCAAAGAAGACGTCTAACGTGTGGGAATCACAGAAACCTCTCTCCTTGGCTGAGGCGCAGGGCCTCCCCTGACGTTGGCAGTTCTGTGTAGAAGACACTCTCCTGAAATAGCTCGTCCCTCCCCGACTCAGGAGGTGTCTCTACTAGACCTCTCGCCCCATGAGCAGGGCCAGACCCACCAGCAGGAGAAGCGTAGTGGACTTTGACTGAGTGCACCTCCCACCCAGATACTGAGCTTAAACTCGGTCCTCTGTCCCCAGAGGCCAACAGCACTGTGAAATACTTCTTGTGAAACTTCAGACTCCTGTCATTTCCCTGCTGTCGAATGCTGGCTTGTTGGCTTTCTTTGTTCTAATTAAAATTTCCTCTGGCCAGTTACTGAGCAGTCTTCAGGGTAATGGCCTCCAAGAACTATAAAATTATTTTCGTCGCTACTTCATAACTGTAACTTTGCTGCTGTTATGAATCGTCATGCAAATATCTGATATGCAGGATTTATTTTCATTGTTACAAATTGAACATAATTAAAGCATAGTGATGAATCACAAAAATAATATATAATTGAATATTGTGAAATATTTATTTCTAATGACAAATAAATGAAGTTTTGTCTTGAAGCACGGTGTA